ATTTATTAAATAAATATTTATTTTAATATAATTATTATTACTTCGAAGATTTTTAAATTTTTTTGAAATAAAAATTTACAAAGTTTATTATTTTAAAAAATTTTATATTAAAAATTTTTAAAAACCTTTGAAAGTTTTTGAAAAAATTTCCTGATAAAGCTTGCTTTCCAAATGTGGCTTGATATATGACAAGCTGAATATGTTTTACCTTATACTTTATCTGAATAACTTACTCAATTAGTTAAATGGTTATTACTCTAACTCAGATATCTAGTGAAGATTAGCCTTTTATCTGATCATCTAGTATTTGATCTTCTTTACCCTTCTAGAATTGTGACAAATTACAGATTAGCCAGGCCTGTGACAGTTGCCTATACCTGCAGCAAATAGGAAAGAGGATAGCCACTCTTCATAAGAAGCTTTGCATGTATAGCCACATCATTTAAGTATTTGAGTAGAATTCAATCCAAGAATAAGGTAGGAAAAGATGGAAGAGAGGTGTTTGGATGTTTAGTAGTGATTGTTAAGGGAGGTTGTCAGATGTTATAAAGTTAGAGTTTCTTATAGATATTGTTACCTAACTTTGTACAATGAGTCTACATTGTCAAAAGGATGAGTGAGAAACTTTCATTATCATCATCAGCTTATGTTGTGAGAATAACTAGAATCTCTGATCTTTACATATTATCCTACTAGGTTTCTCCAATCACCAGCATGATACCTGCAAACTAACCTAGCTTATTGTTAGCTGTATTGATATTGATTATCATATCTTTCTGAATATAATAGGGTACAACTCCTTGGATACTTTTGAATAATAATAGTTGTATACTGGTTTTTTAGATGTATCTAGTTTAACTATTAATAAGTAAACAACACCAGATTTGGTAATAATGATCATATCAATTTTTTGGAGGGTAAACTATCTGTCTTTTTTCTGTAAAGCCATGGAAGAGAGAAAAATTCTAAAGTCCATGTCTTGAGAAAAGTTATTACTTTGGAATATGATCTTAAGAAAAGGAAGTTAACTGGTCAGAGAATTGATGTTATGGAGAGTGGATTTATAAAAAAAAGAGAGACCTAGAGAAAAAATCTTTAGGAAAAAAGGAAAACCTTACTTTGGCAAGGAAGGGTGAAGTGTATATATATAAAAAAAGTATATAGAAAGAAGAGGTGAAAATAGAAAAAAAAAATAAAAGATATAGGAAAGGAGAAATAAAGAAGAAAGAAAGGGGGAGAGTGAAGAGAAAAAGTAAACAACTCAAAGATTTTCTAAAAAGAAAATTTTCAAAAGCAAAAGAAGGAGTGGGAAAGAATTTTTTTTTTAAGTTTGTTTATATTATAATTTAAGTAATATACTGTATATATTTTAAATATAATAAATAATATATTGAAATTTTAAATAAAATTATTATATATATTTTTATATAATAATAAATTTAAAATATACAATACTTTTGTTTATATAATATATTTATAGTTACTTAAAACTATTTTCAATATATAATAGTTTTAATATTTACTTTTTTTTTTTTTTAAAGACTAAAATGTGATACATGCGAAAATTTTATTGTATATTAATGATTATAAATAAATATTATATGAACAGTCTATTTAACTGACACATTGCCCTTATTCTAATTTAACTATTAATTTACATTATGAAGGTGGGTTTATACTTAAGCATAAACTGCAAAAAGTTTTTTGTTTTTTGCCTATTTGATTATCATTAGGGTCTCTTATCACTTTACTCTATGACATACATATTAGATATCATAAAGCTTACTACTTTATATTTCTTAGTTTTAATATTTATTTTTCTTATTATTTAGATGGTTTTATATAAACAAATTAATATTAGACTTATTAACTTTTTAAAATATTGTTATAGAAAAATTATAGCAAGTCAATTACTTTAATTTGATTTATATTATATAATGCTTAAAAATGTTTTCTTTTCAAAAAAGGCATGTGAATTTAACTAGAATTTGTAATACTAATACAAATCAATTCTTTTTTTATATTCTAATTAGTTACTTTGTATATAGCAATTTTTTTTACTATATAATACTGAAGTTTTTTTCATCAAGTCAAATTTTATTAAGAAAGACAATCTTTATTATATAAGTATTATCTATTACAAATTTATCTTATTTATTTTTATTTTATATAATTTTTTATAATCTATTTATTATTATTTTTCTATAACAATATATAAAAAATATTATTATTTTCTTTATATATAAATTATAATTAATTTTATAATTAATAAAGTAATAATGTTTATTTGTTTTTTTTTTTAAAAAATAAATTGGATCTGATATAAACAGTGTTTATATAATAAAAATTGTTTTTTTAAAATAAAGTTTGACTTGATAAGAAAATTTCAATATTATATAATAAAAAAAATTATCATATACAAAATAATTGTTAAAATATAAAGCAACAAATTAATTTGTGTTAATATAATAAAAGAAGTTACTATCTATTATCAAATTTTCTAATTAGAAAAATCTTCTTTAAAAGAAAAAACATTATCAGGTTTTTTTTATCAAAGCATTTCAAATATGTTATAAAATATATTTTAAATATTTAATAAATAATAAATTTGGTAAAATAAATTTTTATAAAAAAAAAATTAATAAATATAAAAAAACAAGTATAAAAAATCAATAATTGATTTTAGTAAAGTCTCACATTTAATGCCCATTTGCAATAGTTTTTTTATATTTTGTATTTTTAAATTCAATCAAATAATAAAAGAATATGTTGTCTGTGATCGTGGATATGCGGTTTCTCGGTTGACTTATTGAACGGTATACTTTTTAGACTATATAACGTTTCATTATTGCATGCTTATTAAACTTCCCTATTAGTAATCGTATATGTTATGCAGAGCAAGTAATAAGAGATATTATTGCATCGAAAGGAGAAACAATAACGTGATTCGAAAAACAAGAACATCAACGTTACACGAGAATCGATCAAAGGTAACGCGACAGACCCATGATACCAATAGTAAAATTGATATTTCATTGTTGATAAAAGTATCATGTGTTTGTCTGTTGGGTAGTCATGTGATTATGTCGAATTTTAAACAAATCGCCCCAACTTTGTTTGAAAAGTTAATTTTGTATTGGTTTCTGAAACTTGTTCTATTATTCGAACATTTAAATAGGTTAGTTTCGATGATTAATGGGTGGCCTTATTGTTAAACGAGTTAATGGTAGCATTCATTGATAATTTGCAGGAGTAAAATATAGCAACTAATCTTTTAAGGTTCTTTTTCCTGAAAATCGGAGTGTCCTTTCATCATTCGATGCACCCCTGAACTTCAAAATTTAATATTTCTCACGACGCATTATTTTTTTGACAAAGATGAATTCCAACACGTACATACGTATGTACTGCATACGCTCGAAGCTGTTGATAAGATTTTTTACGTATCCGTGAACACGATTTGTTGTTTACCTACCCATTACGCAATTGACAAAGGGGCAAATTCTCCTTGATTTAGTCAGAGAATTGGTTATGCCAATTATAGACATATACAGCCCAGGAAGCCCATCTGCGTATGTTGATAAAAATTTATTCGTGTGATCTCGTTTTCGATAACGTTTTACCGATATGATCAATCATCGTGTAGAGGATTCAGCGTTTCGTTCATATAATCACATGTGAGACCGTGATTACAAAAGTTTTACAGAAGCAATAATGTGACAAAGTTTCGACATTGTACTTACGAATTGTAAACATCATGTATTCGTTTTGAAAATGAGCCTTCAAGAGTAATTTGCGGTAATAATCACTGTCAAATTTTCACAGTGGTACACGTGTAACGTTGCACGAGAAGCGAACAATTATCGCATTTGGCATATTATCTCGCATGTGATGTATTTGCGTTGCCCGTCTTGTAGTTTTTACCTCTTAAAATGCATACTCAGAATCTCACAGATACAACGTGGTTTTGTAATTTTTGTTGGATTTGTTATTTCCATCATTATCACAATTATTTTAGAATGTGTGAGCGAGAATGTGTTAATATGCAGAACGCTAATTCTCTCTTTGCAAGTCTCATCTTTCCACGATCGTCTTTGTTCGAACTAATTAATACATTCGTAGGATAAGAGTCTGAAAACAGATTTTAATTCCAAAAATCATTACGTATACAGTTTTTTTATTTTTTTGCCAAGAATTTCTAATTGCAGATCTGCGCTAATTTTTATCCCCAACTTCTCGAAACATTAACATCTCCTGCACCTAAGGATCTTTGATCTACCTTGACATAGCCGGTTATATGGTGTTACCGGCACACAATATTACATTCTTGTTTGTTCTATGTATTAATATTTGGTGTTACACTATTATTTATTTCAAATAGCATACAAAGACATATTATACTGTACATTCACCAAAATTAATTTTAAAGTGTGCCACTACCATCAAACTTTAACAAATAAATTAAGTCGTTGCCTAAAGTCTGTGTAATTATGGCGGGTTTTAAAACGAGTTTCGAGATAAGGTAACTATATCCACACGATTATTGGTTCAAATGAATTTATTCATCCATCAAGGTATAAAAGAACGAGTGCGAAGCCGTTCTGACAATTTTTTTTCAATTCAAAATTCTCCATCTCTTTGGTTCTCTTTTTTTCTTTGCCTGGGCATTGAAAAAAAAAGTCGGGTTTAAACCCTTCCCGTGGTATTTCTCGTTCTTACCTTTCTCTCTCATTCCTTCACAATCCGTAATAATTGCCAGGTTGCAATTAATAATATAAATAAAATAAAAAAAAAAAAAAAGAAAAGAAAAAACCCCTTAAAGAAAGATTTCATTAGTAGCTTACATAAAATGAAGGTATCGATAATATTGATTGCTTTGATCGTGGTCGTTTTGATGGTTGTCGTTGATGTCGACGGTGCTCGCCATCGCAATCTGCGCAAACAACGTAATAGTCGTAATCGTAATCAGACAAGCGCGCAAGGTAACCTAGGAGCCTCTACTACGCAAGATAGCCAAGGAGCTTCGACCACACAAGATAGCCAAGGAGCCTCCACCACGCAAGATAGCCAAGGAGCCTCCACCACGCAAGATAGCCAAGGAGCCTCCACCACGCAAAATAGCCAAGCAAGCAGCTCCACAGCTGCTGACCCTCCACCCGCCGCAACCAATACTTTATCACCGCCGTCGAACTTACTTAGCAACGATATTTGCAAAAATTCAAATCAGCCATCAACCGGCGGTAAACAGAACAAAGGTGGTTCGTGCTCGGATACCATCCAAGGTCAAATCCCTAGCGTCGAAAATATGATCTCCACCATTATCACTAATCCTCAAAATGGTGATACCATTCCCGCGAATGAACCTTTCAATGTGTCCGTGCTGACCAACAATTTGGACCTTGGTTTCTTCGATAATCCTCAAACTCAATATTACGCTTTTCCCCAATCACTTAACGACCAGGGACAAATTTTTGGCCATCAACACGTTACCATTCAACAGCTCAGCGGAAATGGCCCACCAGACCCTCAGAACTTTGCTTTCTTTAAGGGATTAAACGATCCTTCCAACAGCGGACAGTTGTCTGTTGCCGTTGCCAGCTCGGCAGGTCCAGGTTTACCTCCAGGTTTTTACAGAATTTGTACAATGACTGGTACTTTCAGTCATCAACCTGTGCTTATGCCCGTTGCCCAACGCGGCGCTCAAGACGATTGCATCCGTGTCAATGTCAAATAAATAAATCAATGGGAGATATAAAATCATTCTTCAAGGATCAATGTTTTTTTTTTTTATGTTATTTATTTTTCTTCCCATTTAATAACGTTATATCGCACTCAACAACAAAAAGAACGAATGAAAGAAGATTGCATTGATTATCACGTAGATGACTTCATTTTTTCATGCATACTCAATAATCAAGTATATATTTAGCATTTTTCAGAAAGAAAATTTGTAATTATTAGTAGATAGAGTTTCGTGTTGCATTGTTTCTTTACGTGTATCTTTGTAATTTTTTCTCTATTTTTTTTAAAAAGTGGTTAGAATCCGTTTTTTTTTCCTTGTAAAGGGCATTCCCTTTTTTTTTTTTAGAAAAAAAAAATGATGTAGAATTTTCTCGTGATTTGGTAATCCAATCTCAATAAAGAATTTTTATGATAATAAATCTTCACAAAGCTACGTTACCAATAAACGAAATTGTACCCAACTGTTTGTCGTTGCACTATTACCAATTTCGTCCTAGAATATTTGTATATTACAATTGTTGACCTTATTTGGATCTGATCGATTGAAACAAGTTCTCCTATGCATGATCCGTTTCATCCTTCTTTGAACTCCAATTCAATCCAACTAGGCCGAGAAATAATTATTGGTGTAAACAGATGGGCAAAGTCGCTCTACAAACAGGGAATTTACATAAAAATTGATAAAGAAATGTAAGACATTGTGCTATTCAGCAGTCGGTGAAAATACAAACATCCTGATATGTTCGGGATTTTTAAACGTTTTACATGAGATATTTCTATATTGAAAAAAAAAGGAAATAATTATAACCTTTATTCGTATAAAATAATCGTTCTTTCTACAATTGTGCATACAGTACATGCAATTATTTCAAGCCTCTCGGAGTTTTAGGATCCTTTTTTCGTCGAACAATTCTTCTGCTTTATTACAATAAACATGGCATGTTCGTATATTATCAAACTTCTCTTTGAGAAAAGGCCGCTTAAACAAAACAATAGGAAGATTTTCTCGATAAAGTAATAATGATTAGATAATAACGTATCAAGTTTCAAACCATATATAAACTATTTTAAATTTAGCAAATAAAGAAATTCAATTTATCAAATTTTAAAAACATTGGTCACGGACATTAAGAAAGTTCATTGGACCACCAAATTTTAAGTAAACAGAAGATCCATTCAATTAAAATCGTATGAAACTATAATCTCTCAAGCGTGATGCGTATATTAGACCTTTTGTAGAGGCTTCTTTAATACCGATGAACATCGAATTTACTTGAATAATAAAAACAGATGATTTTTTCTATATTCAATCAAATAAATAAATTCAGCGAACAAGAATATACGTATATATACTGTATATAACTCACCTTCAATTTTAACTTGAATATTTCAATTACTTTGCATGGGAACAAAAATCATTGAAATTTCTGAATTTTATTTTAGTTCGCAATTAAATTAATACTGTAATTATCAGTTTATCTTTTTTATTTGTAGATATAAAAAATAAATTATTTGAAAAAAATTATCAGCATGTAATGATGTTATTATCAAAATATGATTCGAAATAAAAAAAAAATGATTCGAGAACTTTTGGTCATAAAATAATACCAACAATAATTTATTGAATGATAACTAGTAAAATCATAAATAATTTTTTCATGAGATTTTTTAATTAATGAACAAATTCTTCATTTGGATAACCTGGAATGTAAAAATTATTTTCTTAAGAATATTGAAAAAAATTTTATATTCTGTTAAAAAATCAAAAAATTGTTTTTTAAATAGAGAAATATACAGTGCACCCTCATTATAACGGACCTCGTTTAACCGGATCCCTCAATATAATGGAGTGTTTTACTGGAACAAAAATTTAATTATTTGTTTTTTTTTTTTTTTTTAAATTGGCTAAGGGCATTAGATGCGTGACATTTATTAAACATTCGTTTGGTAGTCAGTACATCAAGTATCTTTACAAAGTAGGCTATTGCTATCCTAAATGCAAATTAATACTACCT